TACTTGTAAAATATTTACAACAGTGCCTGGTGGTTAGCAAATGCTACAAACAAGTTAGCCATTACTATTATTATAACTGGAAAGACAGCAAAGTCCCAACTTCATCAGGGCAAAGTAGGATATTGCCCAAGGCTTCTGGGATAAAAGTAAATACATCTATAACCAAATAAACGAACAAGGCAAAGAACATTCAATACCAGACCTCAACAGCTCATTCCAAGAAATCCTTCCAAAGAAAGAAAGAAATCCACCACTGAGCCACGCAGGCTGGGCATAATTTAATTTTTTTAACTCACACTTTTGTGCCCCATACCACCCTCCAGAAAGAAAGAAAGAAAGAAAGAAAGAAAGAAAGAAAGAAAGAAAGAAAGAAAGAAAGAAAGAAGGAAGGAAGGAAGGAAGGAAGGAAGGAAGGAAGGAAGAAAGAAAGAAAGAAAGAAAGAAAGAAAGAAAGAAAGAAAGAGAGAAAGAGAGAGAGAAAGAGAGAGAAAGAAAGAAAGAAACCTCTAGAGCAGATACATGAGAAATGTTGGTTTTTAAAAGTGGTTTTCCAGGAAGAGCTAATTCCTTTCTTTACGTCTCTCACACCCCCTCCGGTTTCCCCACAACTTCATTAAGGACCTGGATGAACTGAATAATACCATCTTTGTCCCATGATTATCTGCCATTATTACTGGCATCCTCCAGTAGAACCCATCCAGAGAATTTTAGAGGAGGCTTACTGTCATTAAAATCTTCAACCTCAAAGTTTATCCAGCTTATCCTCAGCTACAAGTAGGATAACGGAAAGACAGGGGTTTAGTGACATTCCTTAATGGGCGAAGTATGAATCCAAAGTTGTAGCTGTGGTTATAGGCCCAGAACTTTCCATAGGCTCTTTCTTCTCAGAGTTTGGTGGTCTATGAATTCAGTTCAATTAGCAAATTTATATTGATCATCGTGCAAATAACTATGGGGATTTCCAGAAAAGTTGAAGATGGGGTCTTGCTCCTGAGGACAGTAAAGTCTAGTTGGGAAACATGAGCTGATCTTACATTGAAAGTAGTAAGTGACTGTGGGAGGATTGCTGGGAAATTATGATGATACTGAATTATTTCTCATACACTGGCTGAAGCATGATTGAAAACATTCCATCATAATTTAATTTAAAAACATATATTTTTATTGACTTAAGAGAGGAAGGGAGAAGAGGAGAGAGAAACATCAATGATTAGAGAGAACCACCGATCGGCTGCTAAGCCCGCAACCTAGACATGAGCCCTGACCTCCTGGCTCACAGGCCAACGCCCACCACTGAGTCACCCAGGCTGGGCATAATTTAATGTTTTTAACTCACACTTTTGTGCCCCATACCACCCTCCAAAAATCAGATGCTTACTTGTCCTGCTCACCTTAGGAATAATTTCCTTTGGGCTAGTGGTTTTTCAACAGCATCAGCATCACCTGGGGACACGTCAGAAATGCATATTCTCAGGCCTGGCCCAGATCTATTGAATCTGAGATTCTGGGGTGTAGGGGCCAGCAATCTGTTTTACCCATTCTTTCCAGTAATTCCAATTCATGCTACAATTTGAGAACCACTGCTCTAGAAATTTTCCTCTAATCCCCTGTCCCAAACTGTGGTAAAGTCCTGTGGAAGACACGGTGTTTTGGATGAATATGTCTGTTTTGGAAGAGAAGATGCAAAGAGTCCATGGCCAATTGATTGAAGATCAAGATTTTTAATAGCCCATTAGACTGAATTAACACCCTTTAACCAAAAATAGAAAACTGATGGGTAGAAAATGGCTCCAACTCTCAAAGGTAAATAGAGACAGTACCAATGCCTTCTGTAAAAAATAATGTGGAAAAAAATAATGTGGGGCCTATGCTAAGAAATGATCAAATGATTCATTAAAACTTAAAATCTCTACAGTACACAGCCATACTGCAAAAAAATTTAGCTGGAAACGTTTAAAGTTGGTGATGCAGAATGCTTGTCTCAATCATTGGGGTGGGAGTGGGAGATGGTAGCATAAGAAATATTATCAGGTTCCCAATTTCATATCACCAAAGCGGTTTCCAGAAATGCAGATCAGCAGCTGTGTCTGAGTTCTTATTTCATCATCAATCCTTTAACATCAGTCAATATTATAAATGTTTTAATAGTTATAAGTCCATGAAGGTAAAATATTGTTTCAATTGTATATCTTTGATTGGACATTAAAAATGTTTATTAGCAATTTTTCTTCCTTTATGAATTGTCTATTTATGTGTTTGCTTATTTTCCAATGAACTATAAATATTAATTGATTAGTAAAATGTCACATTACGAAGAAAGTACATTGTAAAATGTCTTCCTCCACTTGTTAATTATTTTTTAATCTCCGTTATGATATTATATATGTGGTAGTATGATATTACATAATGGAATATTATGTATCTATTATATTTTACATATATCATATAAATCATATTATATGTATATCTTATATTTTTGAAATAGGCAACTTTATATAGTCGGTTGTTTCTCCTGCGTGTTGTTTTTTTTTTTTAATTCTTTTTTGTTTTTGCTTAAATTTTTAAAATCCAAGATCAGGATATGTTTTACTGTATTTTATTTTAGTAGGCTTAAAAAATCCTATAGCAGTTTCATACTGATTTTATATCTATCTCTTTAATGCACTGACTTATTTCAGTGCATGGCATGGGAAAAACTACAACTAGATTTTCTTTCTGAAAGAAATGGGTAGGGACTTTTGGTCAAGATGGTGATGTAGGTAAATAGAGTACAACCACATCAAAATTACAACTAATCTAAAGAACAACCATCATTAAGAATCACCTAAAATCTAGCTGAACAGAAGTCCTACATCCAAGGATATACAAAAGAAGCCACAGAAGAACTGATAGGAGGAGCGGAGATGCAGAACAGGCTGGTTCCACACCCATGTAAGGTGGATACGAATCAGGAGGGATATCCAGGCCCCCAGCGCAGGGTCCCAGTGCCAGGAAGAGAAGTCCCCATAATCCTGGCTGTAAAAACCAGCAGGGATTGTGGTTGAGTGAAATGGAGGGTTGCTGGAGTCCCAGGTATTTCTCTTAAAGGCCTGGTGCGCATGGACATACTTCAACTCACTTGCTTTGAGCTCTAGCACTGGGGCAGCAGCTCAAAAGTCACCAGGGACATACAAGGAGTAGCTGAACTGTCTGGTTTTGGAGTGAGAGCTGGGGGGCAGCTTTCTCCCAGACAGAAGTGCTGGCAGAGGCCATTGATCCTTTGCTGAGCCCTCCCCACACAGAGCCAGCAGCCTGGAACCATTTCTGAGTCTCCAGGAAGCTGGCTAACACTGTTTTAGCCCTACCCTGGTGATTCCCTGAGACCCCACCCAACTTTTGGGACCCACCCAAGCCATTTCTAGTGACTTTTCCATACAAACATCCTCTCTAGGCCCATGATGTAGAGTCTACATCATTCTACATTGTAGACTTTCCTAAAATCTTTCAAAGAAAAACCAACTGACCTTGGTGTACCCTGCACCTCTTTTTAAGGGGCCCAAGGCCTACCACTAGTGGGAGCCTGCTTCAGTTTGCAGCTTGGCCTATGTCAAGCACCTCCAAGCCCAGCACAATAGCAACCATCTGCAGATCACTCTCACTTAGCAAAGCTTATTCTAAGAAAGTAACCCTGATAATAGGGCAAATGGGGGCAGAAAGGCCCCTTTGGGTCAGTGGGAGAAAAGGTAGGACAGCTCTGTCCCAGGGGTGGGCCTGCAGGGTTGAAGGTGGAAGATAATAAATACCCCAGTGCTTGCAGGGATCTTGGCAATTTGCTTTAGGAGAAGTGGGAGTTGTTCTTTTGTAGCATAAAAGCTCAGAGATACGCGAGGCAGGGTAAGCTCAAAATGGCACCCATGCTTACTTCTGGCCCATTGTCTGGAATACCGTGGCTGCAGGTAAGGGAGACACAGGATGTTCTTCTTTATTAATATTGAAGAGCCCTTCTTCTTTCTGACGATAATGTCCACTAGAGAGGTTTACATAAGGCTGGTGACTAAGGAAACCCTCCTGCCACCCAGGCCTCACTCCTCAGGCTCTGTGGTTATTGGGAAAGAGAGAGCAGTGCCAAGTGCTGAGGCTGGGAAAGGAATCGGGACACCATGCTAAGGAGACTCCGCTTTACTTGGAGACCGTGGAGAACCACAGGAGCAGGGCACCATCAGGTGTGTATTGAGGTCCGACCAGATGTTAAATCCCTCTGGAAGGCGGACTTTTCACCCATTTCTGTGAAATGGCTTAACTACTGAAACAGGCCAGCTGAAAAAATGTATGTTCCTGAGTAAAATAAAAGAAGTTCCTTTCTCCTTTGAGTAGGAATGTGGATTGGGGTGGGCACAGCAAAGATCCACCCCGCAGGGGAATGAGCCCTCTGGAGAGCAGCAGGCCATCCTGTGGGCGCAGAGATAAGAAGTGGGCAAACTGTCACGGGTTTTATCAGACTGGCCCACCTTGAAGACACTGGGAAAGCCTCCGTCTGTGCATTGCTTAGCTGGGCTTCCCTCTGCCCTGTGACCCTTCCAACCAGCATGGCCATGGAGCTAACAGGGTTTTCATATTGGCTTATGACTGCCTGAGTGAGCAGACGGTGGCTTCTAGAAGAAAAGACCAAGAAAAGGACTAGGGGTATGAAGGTCTTTTAAAGCTAGTGGTGCTAAGAGCCTGGACCCGAATGGTAGCTCAGGGGATGGACAAGAGACTGCAGCTCTAAGAACTAGTCTGATAGGACTCGGGACACCGGTGGCCTGTGAGGACTGAAGGAGAAAAACGGGTCCGGCGTGACTCCAATACTTCTGACCCAGGCAATTGGACTTTAAGCAGAAGAGCAAGCTTTGAGAGAGGAGAACGAATTCCGTTTAGATCACATGAAGAACGTTATTCAATTGAGAAGAGTTTTAACTCCCTTATAACCAAGATAACTAATATTTGTTACCAAAGCAAATATATCAAAGAATACTCTGAAATGCAATTAAATTTGTTTATTGAAATAATAGACACGGTGAGTAATACAGATTGTTTCAGCATAATATAGGTGTCACACATTTCTCCTGGTAATAGATAAATAGATGAGCAGAAGCAACACAATAAAAGAATAATCTAGAATAATGCATTCTATTACTGGGAGTCTCCCAAGAGATCAGCAAATCCAACCCCATTAACAGATGAGGAAACTAAACAGTAGAGAGGCTGGCATTCTCCACTCTACAAATTTTTAGGGCATTCACCGTGTGCCAGGCACTTCCTTGCTGCTGGGCATATAAAAGCTAACAGAACACGGTACTCATACTGTAGGAGCTCCTAGCCAAGCTCGTGTGTGACAGTGTCCACTCAGCAGGACATTAACACTCAGCCTAAATAAGCACTGTGAGAACTGCATGCTTTAGCTGCAAGGTGCACCCTATCCAGGCGTGGGGGCAGTTCTCTGAAGGTCTTGTGCGAGCTGACCTATGAAGGATGAGCAGAAGTCGGGAAGACAAAGAGGTTGTGTCCCAGGAAGGCCAAGGTGAGGGAAAGCATAGTGCATTTTGTTAATCAAAGCAATCAGAGTACAAGGGAATTCTAGCCCTGAATTTTGGAGACAATAGTCTCCGGACTCCCAGTTCAGGGCTATTTCTAGAATACTACCTGTCTCTGGAGGTCTCCTGACAGTCTCTGATGATTCAGCACAAGTATCAATACTCTTGCATAGAAAAAAGGAAGCATAGTGGCTCATGCTCACCAGGGGTAGACATTAGGGTTTTCAAACTCTCTTGTTTAAAACGTCTCTTTAGAGGAATAATTACTTTGTATTATAGCCTTTCATTTCTTTCCAAAATATTTATATTAATTGATTCATGCCATGAACCCTTACGTCCGGAAGGGATTTTAGGGGGTTATTTTTTCAGTAGCCTAAGGAGCATGGGGTGGGGAAGGGGGAGCAGTCCCCTCCCCAGTGGAGGCATAAAGGAGACACTATCTGTAGGGAACTTAAACATTAATAATAAACTGAACAAAGTTGTTCTGCTTTTTATTATCACCACGTGCCAGGAATCTGGTGATTCTCAGTCAATAATAAAGCGTTCTTCGCTGCCGAGGCAAACTGCCCCTGCTGATCTCCAGCCCCGCGTAAGCCACTGCACTTCACAGACACCGGCACATGCAGAAGGCACAGCACCCAGATCGGCTACACAAAGTCCCCACGTTCATCTGTTCAGCTCACATTACCGCATCGTCTCCGTCCTAGCCAACATCATATGTACAAAAAGCAAAACAAAAACCCCACATCAATGTCTTTCTCCAAAGTAGATTCTCATCTCTCAAGCTCAAATAGGTTTTGAGCTAAGGCCGCCAGTGTCTGATGCCGTCACTCCTGTGTCCACAGGCCTACCAGGAGCAGTCCTCGCTCATCCTCTCCAGCTGGGCCGTCTGGCACGTGCTCGGGGGAATAAACACGGAGGGGTCTTTAATACCCAGCGTAATGTCGAAAAACCGCGTGGACAATATCACACTGTAATTTTGGGTGAAGGTTTCCTGGATCGGATAACAATCCTTGGCTGTATAAATGCCAATCCAAGTTTCATCTATAAGAGGAAGGAAAGTTGACTTTTAATATAGAAGGCAGGCAAAATGCTTGTATTTTTTTGTTGTGGTAAATTATACATAAAATTTACCATTTTAACCATTTTTAAGTGCAGTTCTGTGGCATTGAGTACTTCACATTGTTGTGTACCCATCACCACCACTCTCTCCAGTACTTGTTCATCTTCCCAATTGAAACTCCATGCCCATTAAATGCTAACTTCCCTTTCCCCCTCCCCCTAGCCCAGCCGTGGGCAAACTACGGCCCGCGGGCCGGGTCCGGGCCGTTTGGAAAGAATAAAAAAAAAAAAAAAAAAAACGTACCCTTTTTTTTAATGATGTTTACTTTGAATTTATATTAGTTCACACAAACACTCCATCCATGCTTTTGTTCCGGCCCTCCGGTCCAGTTTAAGAACCCATTGTGGCCCTCGAGTCAAAAAGTTTGCCCACCCCTGCCCTAGCCACTAGCAACATTTTCTTTCTGTCTCCATGAACTTGACTACTTGGCACCTTATATCAAGGGAATTATACAGTATTTGTCCTTTAGTGACTGCTTATTTCACTTAGCATAGTGTTCACTCATGTTGTAGTATGTGTTAGCATTTCCTTCTTTTTTAAGGCTGAGTAATATTCCATTATATGAATACACCACAGTTTCTTTATCCACTCATCTACTGATTGGCACTTGGGTTTGTTTCCACCTTCTGACAATTATGAATAATTCTGCCATAAACATCAATGTTCCAATGTCTGAGTCATTTCTTTCAATTCTTTGGGGTATATGATCAGAAGTGGAACTTTTGGGTCATATGGTAATTCTATGCTTACTGTTTTTGCAAACTGCCATACTGTTTTTCATAGCATAAAGGCCTGTGTTTCTGACACAGTCTTGGGCTAAGCATGTTGACAGCAGAACAGAGAAGAGCTTCATATCTTTGTCTAAAAGCGGACACTAAAAGTAATGGCAGTAAGGACTTTAGGAAGTGATATGGGGGAAGGAAAAGGAGGCATCCAACTCTAATCTGTGCCACAGGCAAACACCTTCCATTTCACTGGTCTGTGGAGGTGGGGTGGGGGATCATCCAATGTCAGAGTCAAGGCTAAGTCCATGAGAGGTCATGTGGCAGAAAGGTACAGGTGTTTCAAATATGATGATTATATCCTGGTGCTACGCAACTAGCAGAGTACATGTGGGCACTTCAATGGGGGGCAGGGGATGGAGGAGTAAACAATTTGATAACGCTCTTAAATCTCCCTAACAACTACCTTCCCTAGTGGGCTTAAACATTTCCCCCATGATTCTCTCTGAGATGCAATCTGCCCATATTTTTCTGAACCCTTACACGATCTGGCTGACTGCCTGTCGGACCACTCCTGAACGGTGATCTGCTCCTGGGGCCCCCCTATGGAGTACTGGTCCTCAAAGGTGGCGTTCTGAGGAATGTCAAGAGGGTCCCACTGGTCTGTCAGGGTGATCTTGGAACATAGCTTGGTGGCTTGTTCAATCTGAAACATCACTCCATCTTTATAGAGCAAAATATATTCAAATAACCTGAAAGACAGAGTAAAAGAGAAATTTCAGCACTTTAAGTGACAATCATCATGGCTTTTATCAGCACACGGGCCAAAAGACTTTGATATAAATTACTCTTAAAACAGAAAATAGTTTTGCTTGTAGGCAATCATTTACTTATTTATAAACACTAGACATACAAACAATCTGAATATAAAATAAAGTTCCGAGCTCAAAACTGAATATTCACCGGACAATTACTTATCAAGCACCATATGCCAGACTCTGTGCTTAGGATACAAATATGAGAAAGACCTGAGTCTGATGAGCAGATATCTGTGACCTATCTTTTAGACACAGGGTCAACAGGAGGGTTTGACCGTTGGCTTGGCTGAGCTCTCCTTACAGCCCTAAGTCAAGGAATTACAGATACTGAATATAGAATGACAAGAACCTGCTGAGGATGGACCAGGCACCTCAGCCCCATTGTCTTGACTGTCAGTCATGAGTAAAGGGCTTTGGTGAGAATGGGTGCCCCTCGAATCCTGGGAGGAGGCTGAGATGAATAAGGACAAAAGCTGAGGGGAACTCAGAGCGAATGGCTTCCCATGCAGTTTGTCTGCAGGCTCTCCGCCTCATCTCTCACACCCATGTGCACACCTATTCCCAGGCTATGCCTGGAGTCAGCAGACCGCCCCACGATCACCTTACACGCTGTGTTGTCAACCATCCTGTGCCATTCCTGTTTTTAAAAAAATCCTCACCAGAAGATATGTTTTATTAATTTTTAGTGAGAGAGGAAGGGACAGAGAGAGAAAGAGAGAAACCTTGATTTGAGAAGCATCTATCAGCTGCTTCCCTTGTGTGCCCCCAGTGGGGAACAAACCTGCCATCTAGGTATGTGCCCAGAGAGGGAATGGGAGGATGGTGTATGGGAGGACGCTCAGCCACCTGGGCAGAGCCCTGTGTCATTCTTAAAGCTAGCAATCTTGGGTGGAGCCCACTGAGTTTCTATTGTTTGTTTTTTCACTTTAAATATATATATTTTTCAATTACAGTTGACATACAATATTCTGTTAGTTTCGGATGTACAACCCCATGATCAGACATTATATGACTTACTAAGTGATCACCCTAGTAAACCTCGTACCCATCTGATACCATACATAGTTAGAATATTATTGACTATTTTCCCTTTGCTCTACTTTACGTCTCCATGACTATTCTTTAACAACCAATTTGTACTTCTTAATCCCTTCACCCTTTTCACCCATCCCTCCAACCCACCTCTCATCTGGCAACCACTAAAATGTTCTCTGTATCTATGAGTCTGTTTCTGTTCTGTTTGTTTATTTATTTTGCTTTTAGATTCCACATATAAGTGAAATCATATGCCCACTGAGTTTTTATGCGTTTGTCAATCCAAAACTCAGGCCATGCTGCTGGTTGACGGAGAGCCAGGTTGCAGCCCGGACCTCAAAAAGTGAAATTAGTAGCACCTGAGGGCAGAAGAGCCTAGAGAAGTGGCTTTTCCTGAGCAAATAAGGATAGTTAACACAGGTGATCTGTGGTGTGAGACTTGCCCTCCTCCACAGTCCCCATGGGGGATGCCTGTTTGCCATCTCAAGTCTGAGCTTACACATTATTTTCTTCAGGAAAGGGTATTACAAATGATCACTGTCTATGTGGTTAAAACAGTGTTACTGTTAGGATTATGCTTCTGTTTTCTATGAGCTGGTATAGAAATATATACATGACCTCATTTGACATATTTAGACATATCTATCCTGCTCACTACACAAAACATTTGAAATGGCTTACAAGAGTAAAGCTCCAGCACAGACCTTTAGAAATGCGAGTGTATTAGACAGAAAAGGAACTGTTCGTTTTATGCCATACTGCTAAAAAATGGAGTCAGCCTCTCATATGCACGCAGGATTCACATCAAACTATAAGCCCTTTGGGGTTAGACTGTCACTGTTTTCTCATGCCACAGTTTTCTCATTAGGTCCCTGGCGCAGGAGGGTCAAAACATTATGGAAGGAATGCAAAAACAGCATCAATGTCAGAGCACCGTCCGTTCGTTAACATGGTAGGGGAGCTTGCTGAACCAGAGGCGGGCATCGGACGTAGGCAGGACAATCTGCTTCGCTCCCTCAGACGTGTGGAATTGTAACAGAAGTTCTCCCAGTCTCTGGATCTGTCATATGTAAACACAGAAGTCATAGGAACCTATTGCACAACATGCGGACTGAACAAGAGCAAAGCATGAAGCAGAGAGAAGCATGAGCAAAGCTGGGATTCCCAGAGCTGATCAGTTCCCATGTGTGTTTCTTTTCTGAGGCCCAGTGCCTGGAAAGTTATGATAAGTTGCCTTTGTTCTAGTAAACTTCCCTTTTTCTGCTGGAAACTCATTTCTAATATAGTGGAGGGCTCCACTGTTCCATCTAGAGTCCCAGGTAACAGCTGCCAGCACAGCTGTCTGAGAGGGGCACAGCACGGCCCGCTGCAGAACCGAGGGCCACCAACGGCTGGTCAGGCACCTGCCAGGGAAGGGAAGGAGACAGCGGGAGAAGAAGAGCCAGCTTCACTGTTTTCCTAAGGTCGGCTCTGCCTATACCAAAAAGCACAATTTGTTTTTAAAATGAGAATTCTAGGCTTAAAACAATCCTTACAGAATGTTCACATTTGTTCATTCTGGGTGGTCTGAACACAGGTGTTTGTTATGGAGTTCTCTGTTCTTTTGTTTTCCAAAAAAATATATATATTTTTAAATGAGTGCATAGTGTGATATTGAGTTATGTCAACAGTCCCTTAAGTAAAACAGAAAATAATCATATGATGAGAAAAAATAGAACTGTAACCATTTGCTTTGCCAAATACCATGTGCCTCTACAGGAGAGTACTGCTCTGCACGAAGTTTTGGGATTTTCCTGATGCTGTAGTGGCTTGTATGTTTCTGTGAACATGTGCAGTTAAGTTGTCAGATTCTCCATGGCAAATAGGACACAGGGCCTGGGACCTGACAGAGCCAGAAGGTCAAAAGCAGAGGTCAGCCAAGGTTGAAATGAGTCACCGGCCTGGGAGGCTGTGTGGATAATAACCGTAGACCCGAAGAGCTGACCAACTTCAACAGAAACTAGATTCTGGGAGGTGAGATCAAAGCCTGGCCCTGAAGCGAAGGAAGTTGTCAGAAACTGTACCCCTGGGGTGCAGTCAAGCAAGGTGAGGTGCTGGAATGGATTGGAGGGCAAGGCCAGCCCTGGGTCAACAACAGCATGCAAACTCCTCCTTGCTGGCCAGGCACCAAGTAAATCCGGTTCTGGGAGGCCCGCCGCTGGGTGTCAGCTGTGAGCGAGGTCAGGCTCCCCAGGTCTGGCCCCCAGTCAGCAGGCCGAGCTCCACCGCAACCTCCCCCCGGGGGTAAAGTGTCCCATTTTGCTTTTGATAAAATTCTCTGCCTACATTGACAATTTTTATTGTTTCCAGAAAATTCCTTTTCCTTAGAAAACATGCTCTACCATCCCCATGTTTTCTAAAACACTAACGACCTGTAGCTGATCGATGTTTCTCTCTCATCAATGTTTCTAACTCTCTGTCCCTCTCCCTTCCTCTCTTTAAAAAATCAATAAAATATATTTTTTTAAAAATTGTACACCTGAACATTATGTAATGTTATTAACCAATGTTACCCCAATAAATTGAATTTTTAAAGTTAAATTATAAAAAATTCTGAGAAAAAAAGAAGAGGAGGAGAGGCTTTGTCCTATTCCACTTCCTTCGTTTTGTGTCTTTGAGCAGATGGTAGGGGAGCTTGCTGAACCAGAGGCGGGCATCTGACGTAGGCAGGACAATCTGCTTCGCTCCCTCAGACATGTGGAATTGTAACAGAAGTTCTCCCAGTCTCTGGATCTGTCATATGTAAACACAGAAGTCATAGGAACCTATTGCACAACATGCGGACTGAACAAGAGCAAAGCATGAAGCAGAGAGAAGCATGAGCAAAGCTGGGATTCCCAGAGCTGATCAGTTCCCATGTGTGTTTCTTTTCTGAGGCCCAGTGCCTGGAAAGTTATGATAAGTTGCCTTTGTTCTAGTAAACGTCCCTTTTTCTGCTGGAAACTCATTTCTAATATAGTGGAGGGCTCCACTGTTCCATCTAGAGTCCCAGGTAACAGCTGCCAGCACAGCTGTCTGAGAGGGGCACAGCACGGCCCGCTGCAGAACCGAGGGCCACCAACGGCTGGTCAGGCACCTGCCAGGGAAGGGAAGGAGACAGCGGGAGAAGAAGAGCCAGCTTCACTGTTTTCCTAAGGTCGGCTCTGCCTATACCAAAAAGCACAATTTGTTTTTAAAATGAGAATTCTAGGCTTAAAACCATCCTTACAGAATGTTCACATTTGTTCATTCTGGGTGGTCTGAACACAGGTGTTTGTTATGGAGTTCTCTGTTCTTTTGTTTTCCAAAAAAATATATATATTTTTAAATGAGTGCATAGTGTGATATTGAGTTATGTCAACAGTCCCTTAAGTAAAACAGAAAATAATCATATGATGAGAAATAATAGAACTGTAACCATTTGCTTTGCCAAATACCATGTGCCTCTACAGGAGAGTACTGCTCTGCACGAAGTTTTGGGATTTTGATGCTGTAGTAGTGGCTTGTATGTTTCTGTGAACATGTGCAGTTAAGTTGTCAGATTCTCCATGGCAAATAGGACACAGGGCCTGGGACCTGACAGAGCCAGAAGGTCAAAAGCAGAGGTCAGCCAAGGTTGAAATGAGTCACCGGCCTGGGAGGCTGTGTGGATAATAACCGTAGACCCGAAGAGCTGACCAACTTCAACAGAAACTAGATTCTGGGAGGTGAGATCAAAGCCTGGCCCTGAAGCGAAGGAAGTTGTCAGAAACTGTACCCCTGGGGTGCAGTCAAGCAAGGTGAGGTGCTGGAATGGATTGGAGGGCAAGGCAGGCAGGCCAGCCTTGGGTCAACAACAGCATGCAAACTCCTCCTTGCTGGCCACGCACCAAGTAAATCCG